TGCTGGGCGCCAAAAGCAGGAGATTGAGGATCATATCGCTGTGCTAGAGGCCGAGGTTCAGGGCGCTGAGCTCAAGGAACAGAACCTCGAGGCCGACCTGAAGCTCGCCCAGGAGCAGGACAGTAAGGTGGTCCGCACTGGAAAGGGCAAGGGCAAAGTCAGTGCCCTTTCCAACTTGGCTAAGGGCCGTGTAGATGAGCTACGCAATGCGTTGATTGACGTGCGTCACCAGCGGGATGAAGCCCACGAGCGGGTGAAGGAGCTTGAGGATATTCTGGCTAAGTTCAAGGTGGAATATAACCCCAACTTCAATGACGAGGGTGTCAAACGTGCGGTCCGTAGCTATGAGGATTACGCTGCTCGTGACCAAGGCACTGAGGGTGCGAACGGTGTTTTGGACCGCGACTTGGACGAGATTGCCAAGACCGACGGCGAGGATAGCGGTATTAACTGGGAGCACTGGGAAAATGAAGAAGATGGGTGCAATGACTCGGATCTAGGTACGTCATTCCTTAGGTTCTTGTGACACCTAGTACATGCTAACAGGCAACTATAGTGTACAAGCTCGCTGCCTATCTCCCACCATCACTTGTCAGCTTCATCGAAGACAAGGTGATTTCTGTCAAGGGCTTCCTTGAAGAAAAAGGCATTTTGCCCAAGGCAGGTGAGGAGTCTTCCTCGGAATCCAAAGCCGTGACCCAGGCACGCGATGCCCTCAAGGCCGCGCAAGACTCTGTTACAAGCCTCAAAAACAAGCTACGCGACCAGCGTGCCGACCTGGAGCAGGACTATGGCCCTAACTCTATCTTCCGCGCACTCAGGGGAGTATGTATCACCCAGGATGCGGGTGAGTACACGTACGAGCACTGCTTCCTTGATTCCACCAAGCAGAACCAGAGGAAGGGAGGCAATTCCGTGTCCATGGGCAAATTCTCGAATGTTGGAACCACGAGCGTGGAAGAAGTCAACACGGCCGGTGAGGTCGTAAATGTCGAGAAGATGACAATTGAGTACAACCGCGGCCAGTCTTGCTGGAATGGACCTAACCGGTCGACCAAGGTCATTTTGGAGTGTGGCGAGGAGAACAAGATCTTGAAGACAGCGGAAGAGGAGAAGTGCGTGTACTCGATGCTTGTTACATCGCCGGCTGCATGCGCAGGTGGCGAAGAGGCAGGTAATGGTGCGCCTCGCTCGAAAGACGAGCTGTGATGGTTATATTAGATCCAAAGATCTGTTAATACATATGTATTGAATGTTTATTTCATTTGCATCCCATTAGTTAGAATGAATTGCAATTTGAGCGCTTTTATACACTTATATTCTTGTTCTTCAGTATTCGGGTGGATACAATCAACGTATGTGCTAGGTACGCGGACGATTCATTACATCAACAAGATCAAATCATATTTACTGGAGCATATAGATACCAATAAATATTACAGATAGTAATATCATCTGATTTATAGTTGGTAGAAAACCACATAGCAAGAACGTACTCGAGGTCAGATCTGAACCTATATAAACTTAACACCCCATCCACAAGGCCCCAGGCCCTATCCCCAGATCCAAGCATACAACCATCTCGATCATGAACAATCACAACGAAGTTATCTCACGACCTTGATAGTAAGGACACCCGCGCACCGGCTAGTTCGACAGCAGTGGGAGCCCGGGTCTGGTATGGGTTATATTGGAGGAAGACGGCGGTGGTGAAGGGCTGTGATCCAGCTTAGTGCTAGAAGGGTAGTTAGTATATCTTTCGCCTCGGAGCCGCATTCCACTCTAAGTAATGGTGGCTATAAGACACGGAAAGAGAAAGCAATGACTTACTTTGCAGGTAGAGCAAGCGCAGGAGTTGCAGTCACCGGAGCAGCAGTTGCAGGCGCAGGGAGACATGATGAATATAGAAGTGGTAGGTAAAGAACCTTGAAAAATAAGCTTAAGATAGTGTTTGGTTTGGATATAAACGCTTGGATACAGAAAGAAAAGTCCAACAGGGGAAGGATATGAGGGCTACTTTATACCTCTGGATTCCATGAGCCTGCTACTTCGTCCTGATCAATAACAACACCGTGGATAATTCTATTTTCCCGGCTATCATGCAGCTCCATCCAATCCAAGACGTGGTAACGTCGCCGCGGGGCCCTATTCACTCCATCGTATCGCGTGGTCGAGTCAAATGAGCCCAGTCCTGCATTCCACTCAGGATCCTTCCAACTCCAATCAGCCTGCCACCTATTATGTCTTTCGGCCTATTCTCACGCGCTATCCGCTGTAAAAAGTACCACAACCAGGTTGCTCAACCGCCCGCCAATAAAGCGGAGCCCATCGGGGTTTGCCTATGATGTATACTTCTAGACTCCAAAACCCCTCTCGGGCAAATATGGCGCAGATACGGACGAAAGGGTTGATATCCGATATATTTTCTTCAGTCTAAATATTATCTCTCTCGGTATTTTCTCGGTAGTATGGTGAGTATAACATCATCAGGTTAATCTGGTTATGTACGGAGTAGATCAGATTGCATTGTGCCCGGGCTGGGTTCATGCTAATATGGCTGGTCTATCGGCTTAGGCTAAATTCTAAGAGTCGCGCAGGGATTCATTTTGTGGAGCAATCGCATGCGTTGTTTACGCTTTGCCAGATACGGTCATCTTTGCCTATACGGAAGTACTATATGTGTAAATTGTTTGTCTTTAGATCTCGACTGGACTTGAATACGTATTTCATTGATCATATGATACATGCTATAAGACATCGAACATAGCAAATATAGGGTAACATACGGCGTCATTCCCTATTAGTGTGTTTAATTAAAAAAGAAAGAAAGAACTAAGACCTTCATTATCATGCCACGATGACGGCCACGTTTCGGATACGACGCAGATCTGCATACCATGTTTGATCCACTGGTTTCGGGACGGGCCTCTTATTATCTCACGAGTACAGTCATACGTATAACTGGCGTACAAGATATGGACTGTAAGGGCTATAAGAAACGTCGTATTCAAAGAAATGATGGAGAGTGTCCAGAAAGTAAGCGTCAGGTATGTAATTTCTGGCGCCTGCAGCGGTTTCGGGTCGGACTATTGTCGTGGCAGCCTATGAGGCAAAGTTCGTACGGATTGGGGACCTTGGAGGAGGGGTGCTGTCCGTCCCCATTGGTAGCCCTGGATTACCTGAGACGTATGTTCATACCCACCAGGTGGAACTATACCAGGGTGTTACCACCTTCGTGTTTTTCTTGATTTCTTTCGGGGTACGGAGTATTTGTGTACTGAAGGTTTATGAAGGTGTATGACGGGCCAGACGCTCATGGAGTTGCACCTGCATGGTTGGGGTTGTATTAGCTCCCGAGGTCAATTTGGAACCAGGATTAATTCATGTCTTACATATTGCATTTAGTAATATCTATTCAAGGAAGGAAACTGTGTATACTGTATACCAAGAGGCAAGATCTGATAACACCGTCTTTGAGAGACATCTCAGTTTTTATAATGTACATGGCATAGAGACGCCTATATCCAGCGTTTGGGCCTCGCTGTATACGGGCACAGACTCCTTGGGGTCTTACTGAGAACCAAAAACAAACCAGCGAGGCACCGAGAAAGTGGAGAGGCTGCAGCTTGGAAGCTACCAGAGCATATCACAGACCCTCTCCGATGTGCATCATGCATGACTATGATTGGCTCCGATCCAATACTACTGTTCTCGGACTCGTGCAGCATCGAGTCCCACTTTTTATCTCTTCTTACAATCGACTCTCCGCTGTACCAGGTGTTGGGGTCTCGATATGTTTGATGTTGGAGATGGTGAAAATGTCGCATCAGCAAACCATAGTGGAAAGGCGGAAAGGATATTTCCGTATCTGGTCAATGTGACGATGGGACGATCATTTAGTGGACTGAGTTGTTGGGTTGGGAAGGGTGCCTGATATTGTATCAAAACAAGGATTCTCGGTGACTCCGCCTTTGAGAGGATGTCTACTCCGCCCAGGCTGTGTGTTGGCATTAGTATGGGTGGTTTGATCCAAGCATCTGCCAATGTACCTCGTAGACGCTATGTACGTTGTAGATATATGTTGTATGTTAGTTGACTCTACTACTTTCCACGCAGGAGGCTATTCGGATATCTAAGTATGTTGTATGCCAAGAAGGCCATTGTGCCCCCAAGGTTGACCAGTACCGATCTTCAGACCCAAATATTAGATCTGATGCCCACAAGGTACTTGTTCTACAAAGAATAAAAGTGCTCGAGCAACCGCATGTCATTTACTATGAACCCCTGTTTTATGACATGACGTGCATCCCCGATGAACACAATCGGGAGCTTTCCAAATCAAATACCCTCCGTCTCACTGCATCCTCGTATCCAATAAAAGGTTCAAATCGGATTTATCGTGCCCATATGGGTGATTTATTTCTTCTAAGCAGATTGAGGGGTCGGGTCAGCCAAACGTCATCGAAGGAGGGGATATCACGTACAGGGCAGTTGCAAGAGCCGGCAGGGCACTGGCAAGAGGAGCCGCAGCTGCATCCGTGGTCGCCTATAACAGTGGTCAGCACTGAAAGGGAAAAAAAAGGTGAAATATGATGAGGAATTTGATGAGGGACGACCCCGCCATAACCCCGCCATTTCGAAAATCGGGCGAGGGCAAAAGCGCGGTTCTTCACTAATTTGTGAAGTCACATGTAGCATGGAAGATGAAAGTGCTTACTCATTTTGTATGGTTGGAGTGGTAAAAAGTGGTGAAGCTTTTGGAAGTTGTGTTGGTTGTAAAGGCGAGGTGGGGGAGAAGAGAGAGGAGGGATGGGGCCGGGTCCTTATATACTCGTGACTTTGCGGGATACAGTCTGAGGGTCAGACAACTTGAGTGAATTCTCATTGATTGCATCTCGTTCCACGTTACACTTCTGAGCATATTTTTCTGTCCCCGCTTACGCACATATCCAACGCATTGGTTTCGAGTGTGATCTTGAATTTACTTGAATCCTCGAACCATGACTACTCCTATTGCATGCATATGCGGAAGTGTAGCTTTATCCATCCAGCTGAACTCTGTTGCCGACCAATCCAAACTCCAACTATGTCATTGCGATGACTGTCAGATGGTGACTGGGCAGTTAGCTTCATCGTATTATCTCCTCCAGCATGAACCACCGGATCTAGATGGGCTTCAAGAATATCGACAGTCCAACCACGTTAGCCGTTACTTTTGTAAGACATGTGGTTCCCACGTCTTCGCTCGCATGCAGCCTGGGGGACAGTTTCTAGTTGCCTCAGGTTTGCTGGCAGCGAAGAACATCCCCTCGGTCAAAGGGGTTGAGCACTGGCAAAGTAGCAAAACCGGTGACGGTGGCCTCAGTGCACTGCTTCCTGGAACGGAGTCCACCGTCACAGGTTGCAGATTACATACTTCAACTAGCAATGAGAACCCTAAACGAGAATCGATAAACCCGGCGGAGTATACATCAACAAGCCAGCATCTGTGGGCACGTTGCCTCTGTGGAGGAGTTGAATTTTATATCACCAAGCCCGATGCGTCGTCCTTACAAGCATCCTCGCCATGGCCAGATCTCCTGGTTCCATACTACACTGGGTCTGGGGCGAATCCTGACGATATCAAATGGTGGTTACGAGATGGTGGTACGAAATATATTGCAGGAACCTGTGTCTGCAACAGCTGCCGACTAAGCAGTGGATTTCCCATCCAGACTTGGGCATTTGTACCCAAGTCCAACATCTTTAATGCAGATGGATCACCGCTTACGTTCAATGCGGGGACTATGCGGCGGCATAGAAGTTCACCAGGGGTATATAGAGAATTCTGCAGCTGCTGTGGGGCTACTGCTTTTTGGCATTGCGATGAACGACCACTGCTAATTGATGTGAGTGTGGGCTTATTCCAGGCAAATGGTGCTAGAGCTGAAGACTGGTTGGAATGGGCAACAAATCGTATCAGCTTTGCTGAGATGGCGGTGCAACATGATTTGATTCATATTCTAGAGGAGGGCCTCAAGATTCATTCAAAGTGAAACTAGTCGACATCTGAAAGATACTATGTAACCATTATTGAATCCATGAATGTCATCTCATATACTCCCGTGGGCCGTAGGTACTCCCGTAGGTGGTACCCGTGGACACACACGTGGAAGGTGCGACCAACTCCGTCACCGCCTTCCCTCCGCCTGACTTTTTCGGAGATCTTTTTTTTCGCGTGTCGAAACTCGACACTCTTGATTCTCCATCCTTCACGCGTCTGCATTTTTGCTGCTTAACCGCAGCCGTCCGAAATGCCAATGCCTCCATTCGCTCCATTCCAGTTCAGAGGAGGTTCTAACTATCGTGGTTCGCGTCCTAACCCGCGCCATGAGTTTACTTTCCGGTACCAGAAACCAGCTACCTCGGACCGACCATTGTTGTCCTCGAAGAGAGAAAGCACGCCCGAACGGCTTGAAGGCGAAACTAAGCCTGGGCTCAAATTTGCCGAACTTTCCACTTTGAGCGACAGTGAAGAGGCGGAAATGGACATGTCCGATGACTCTGATGGTGAGCGACCACGTAAGAGACGTGCGCTAGCTCTCGATGGGCCTCAAGAGACTGCTCCAGCTCCTCCTGCCCCGAAATGGTCGAACCCCGATCCGTACACTGCGCTACCTCCTCCGGCCGAAACTACAAACAAAAGGGTGGATGTTGTGAAGCTGATTCGCAAGGCGAGACTTGACATTGCTCCAAAGACAGACGAGACGGACGCAGTCAAGCAGAACTCAGACTTCATTTCTCTCGGGATGTCATTTGAGCCAGAAATTCCTCAGAGTAACGCTCCTGATAACGCCCCCAGAGGGCCAAAGGCTCAGGAAGTCCTGGATCCCGCCATTGCGAGCCGGAAGCGCACCCGTGACGATGAGATCAAAGGATACTCCCGAAAGACTGGCAAGCCTGCCAGCAGGTTCAACTACGATGGAACCGTCATCGATCAATGGAAGCCACTCTCCCAAGAGACAGGCACGCCTTGGTTCGAGGGCACCCCAGCTTCATTACACGTGGGAACCCAGTCAGTACTATCCAATGCCCTATTTCTCGTTTCTCTCTAACACTTATAAACCAGGCTGCATAACGAGATTCTCAGTTTCTATCACTGGGCCAAGCCACAGGAATTCGAACATATCGTCCGTGCAGATCTTGTCAATCGACTGGAAACTGCATTCCAACAACGATACCATAACGTTTCAATTCGGGCCTTTGGTTCTTTTGCCTCGGGTCTCTATCTCCCCACGGCTGATATTGATTTAGTACTGCTTTCTCACACATTCTTACGTACGGGAGTTCGAACATTCGGAGAGAGGAAGGGTCAAATCTACGCGTTCTCGGCTTTCCTCAAGAGCACAAATATTGCTGTTCCTAACTCGATCGAGTGCATTGCCTCCGCCCGGGTGCCAATTCTCAAGTACGTGGACAAGCTGACTGGATTGCGAGTGGATTTATCTTTCGACAACGACAGTGGCTTGATCGCCAATGAAACATTCCAGAAATGGAAAACCCAGTATCCGATGATGCCGGTTATCCTGGCTGTGATTAAGCAGTTCTTGTTGATCCGCGGACTCAATGAAGTCCCTACTGGTGGACTAGGAGGTTTCTCTATCACTTGCTTGGTCACAAGTATTCTTCAACATCTGCCCCAGGGCCATATGCAGCCAAACCTAGGCACAATCTTGCTTGACTTTTTCAATTTCTACGGGAAGCAATTCACTTATGATAAATTGGCACTCCGGATGGACCCTCCAGGCTATTTCAACAAGGTTAGTAGATTTTTATTTTGATTTCTAGTCAACCAGCCAGCTGATCATGTCAAACAGGGCTATTATTTTGGCAATCCCGATCGTCTCACAATCGAAGATCCCAATAACCGAGACAACGACATCTCAGGTGGCACAAAGGAAATTGGTTTGATCTTCCGAGCCTTTTCTAACGCGCATACTGCCCTGAGAAATCGCATGGAATATCTTGCACTTGTCCAAGGATCGAACAAGAGCATTCTTGAACCGATAATTGCGGCGAACTTTGATGAGTATATCGAACAACGTTTCCAACTCCGTCAAGTGTTCATGACAGAAGAGAGGTTTGCTCGTTACAGGGAGTCTCCGCCGCCACCTCCACCGCCGGGATCCCCTCCTGCTAACAGAGCCTCCCCTCCTCCCCCCCTCCTGTCGACGGATCCCGCTCTCCCCTACCAGCGCCGCCCCCAGCTCGACAGCCTGCCAAAAAGTCCAAGACAAAGTCGAAGGGAACGAAGTCGGAGCCAGAAGATATTTCTTCCGATGAAGCACCTGGGCCCGAAGCAAAATCTGCCAAAGCTCGGAAGGGTGAGACAAGGCGTCAGTTGTGTCAAGAGCGTGCTGCCAGACTCAAACGCTTGAGGCCCGACCTTAAGAAACTCCCCAATACCCTCAGCCTTCGACAAGCTCGTCGCCATGCAGGTTACGAGACCGATGAGCAGATGAATGCGGACTTGGACAGCAGAGAGCAGAATCTTCTCGCCTTGGCATGAATTTGAGTCTCCATTTCTACGCCCGCAACGACTTTCTTTTGGTTTCTGTTTGTATGCTTTATTTTTGTATGATGATACCCCTTACTTCGAATGGTTTGGTGATTTGCACGGGGAAGAGAAAGGGATGTGTGCAATAGCGGTATGGTGGGGTTGATGATATCTTCGCGTGTCCTTCGGCAAAACTGTGTGCTTCTCCCTCTCGATAGCGAGAAGCGCAGCGAATGGCTGGTGGAAACTCGAGAATGAGCATTCTTCGAGCCTGAGACGGAAACAGTAACTTACTATCTAGGATTCTCTCCCGGACTTCGACTTGGCCAAAATCTGTTGACTTGTCCCTGGGTTCAATTGATCAGGGCTGTCTGAATGTTGAAGTTGGTTTTCGGTCTTATTTGATTGATAGCTGGTTTCAATGTGGACAAGCCTCAACAATCTCAAACCCTGGATGATCCTGTTTTCACCATCTGTTTAGGTCAATCCGCAACGTCTAATGCTTTCTCGGGTCCCCCTCGACGAGCACCTAGTTCTTGCAGTTCTTTAGTCCCTACATGGGACGCTGTTAGTGATTCCAATGAAACCCCCCCGATGATCGTGGATTCGCGCCCAACGTGGATCTATGTTTGTTGGCGTTTATCTTTCTTGCTTTTCCCTTTGCCCTCTCCTTCCCATGCCTTCCTTCTCACCCAGAGAGCGCTACATGCGACTTCTGGGAGAGGACTGGAGCATCAGGAGCCTGGGCTTGGGACTACACGCCGAACTTGCCTTTCTGTTTTCGGACGGTGGCCTATCTCTATGTGTTGCTGAGTCCCTTCCTACCTGCCCAGGAAATCTTCGTCTAACCCAGATCCATGGAAGTACACATAGGAGATGCGAGAAACCATTGGGAGGCGGCATAAGGGCTGTCTCTCGATATATTCATTCAGTCCTGTTTCTAGTTCTATGCAAGCTGCTTCTCCACATCTGACGGTGGTGTCAAAATAGGATCCTCCTTGATAGCTGTATCAGATATAGAGAGGTATGGCTTCTGTCCTGTTCTCTCCTCAGCCTCGATCCTCTGCACAACAGCGACATGCTCCTCAGATAATGAATTCACAAAGTCGGGTGACGGACTGGCCCAGACATAATCAACCCACTCTATACCTAAGATATCCCGAATTTCTCGTGCCAGTTGCAAGATATGAGCTCCGCGTGTATGAGACCAGGCACGGTCCGTGATAAGGTCCTCCTGGGGCGTGAGAATATTCGACGCCGTGGGAACATCACCCATCGGAACATCCAGGCTAGGAGTAGACAGTCCAGGTGATTTAAAGTTGGTATCGAAATATGAAGCGTCGTCATCCTCATTCCAATTTTCCAGTCCATCGACGATACTGTGCCACACGCGTAAAGTCTCATCCAACTCAGCGATAGTACTAACGCCCATAACGCTAACACCCAGCCTTCTCCCCGTGCCTAAACTGGCCACAGACAAGAAACCAGGATCAGCGTCCGCAGCGCGGGCAAGTGGCGCACCGAGACCGCCAACCCGCGCACCAACACGCAGCCACGTCTCCAGCGCAAACCGAATGGCAACAACCTCAAGTTTCTCTCCATGCCGCGAAGCACAATCCGAAGCACTACGAATAGCACTCCGCAGGGCATCGGGAGCGGGATGGAAATCACCCATCGAGCCAATCGGCACGCCATCCCGACGAAGCAATCCCATGCCCAGCGGGGATGCATTAGGAACAACATCGACACCAGCAGCAATCAGCCTAGGCAGGGCATGGGAGTGCAGCCGCGTATTCTGCAAAGTGAAGTTGGCATACGACATAACGATATCAAGCGGCTCGCCCGTCTCTCGGAGAATCGTCTCCGCCAGCTCGCTGAGCGTGTCGACCGGGTAACCGGAGATACCGACGTAGCGTAGCACGCCCTCTTCATCGCGGAGACGACGCAGCTCCCGCACTGCGGTGACCACTTCTGCCGCTGTCACAAACTCCACGTCGTGGCAGTACACTACGTCCAGGTAGTCTGTGTGCAGGCGTTGCAGGCTGCGTCGCACGCTGTGTCTGATCCATTGCGGCGAGTAGTCGAATGAGGAGCCGGCTATGCGCCCGACTTTTGTGAGGAGGTGGTATGTCTCTCGTGGGAAGTTGGTTCGCACGGTTTCTGTTGCCAGGGCGCGGCCGAGGAGTTCTTCTGCGGGGCCGTAGTAGGGGGATGTATCGAATGCGCGGATGCCGCGTGATAGTGCGCGCTGTACGAGTTCTGTTGTTGGTAGGGCGTAGGGGTTGGTATTATATTGGTTGTTGAAGGTTGCGGTGCCCATTATCAGCGGCGGCAGGGCCGCGGACAGTGGGGTGGAGGGGTGCATGGTGTGTGGGGAGGTCGATGTTGTCAATACTGAAGAATTGGCTATGGATGTATGGGGTACCTCTTGGAGATTGGTAATTGGTAAAGTCTTGTTCAAATGGTACGTGCATTGCTTATAATTTCTCCGAGAAAAAAAGCAGAACCCCGTCGGCTCCGTTCCGGATGGCGCCATGGCGGGGAGATTAGCCCCCAGATCGGGACATGGTGGCTACAATCCGATCGGCTTTGTATTACATCTTCTGTTCTGTAGGTTTTCGTTGAGGCATGGCTCAAATGGCCAACCGGTAGAAGTAGGTATAGAGACAACGTGAAGATGTTCCTGGTCAGATGTTCCTGGTAAGGCGGCGGTGGCAAAAAAAGAGAAAAAGTTTGTCAGGTTCCAACCACTACGAGATACATGTGCGAAGAATATGCAGTAAATGGGTCTAGATCGGACATTACACAAGTTAATGCAAGTATATAGCTATTGTACACGAATCCTTTCCGAGTGAGAGTGGAGAAGGGGGTCAACAGAACGCGGCGCATCACAAATGATATACACAGACCGAAAGGTCGATGAGAAGATGGAAGATGGAGGCAACGTAGCACTTCCACTTGGGACCAGAGATGATGCCCGAGGAGGGGGTTCGGGGCCATCTTAAAATATCAAAGAGAAAGACCCCAATCTAGAAAATCAAGGCGTCTTTCTCCAACAACCCAAACGCCATGCTATGCCAAAACAAGAAAGACGAGCAGATCGAAAACAAAGAAGCCGGTTGGAGTCGGAGGCTTCTGTCGCAGGAAAGCGTAGATGTGCTCGAAGGGAACCCGGAGCGCCCGGGGAACCAGAGAATCACACACTTATTGTTGTATTCATTGATCCTTGTAGACCTTGGGGTTCCAGCCTTCCTTCAACTCCTTGTCGTGCGCGGCTTTGCGCTCAACCTCGCGGAATTCCATTTCCAATCGCTCGCGTGCACGCAGAATTTTGCTTTGCAGGTAGAAGCTGCCGCCCTTTTCGGGGTTGTTGGTATCAAACAGTTTCTTGAATCGGGCCATGACGTGTTCGAGGTCGTGTTCGCCGGAGGCAGGGGGCTTGACATTCAGGATTTTGCAGGCTTCATCGATGGTTACGCTCGAGGTGCTGGTGGACTTGCCGGCTGCCTTTTGTTGGCCAGCGTATTTGCCGGACGCCTGGGCTTGCTTGTAGGCTTCGGCGAAGGCGCGGCCGAAGACCCGGGCTCCGGTCACGACGACTTGAGAGACGATGCGATGAGCCTATGAGATTATTAGATTTAATTTTAGAAATGGGAAGAATAAGGAGATCAATAGACATACCATTGAGAAAGTACCGTAGAGGAGGCGATCACGGATGTTATAGGTTGAAGGAAGAAGGAAGAGAAGGGGAAAATTTCGGCTGCGGGTTTTAGCGTCGGGAGAGCTCCAGACACGAGCATGAGTATAGAGAGAACAGTAGGATAAGTCAAGGTCATTTTAATTGGAGATTTTGACATAAATTATAAAGTGGGTTTTTGTTTACGTATCATCTATATAGATATCTATTATAAAAAATGAATAAAACCAGTCAAAAAAGTGAATATCAAGACCCTACACACTATATACCGAGAGTCACATGCCCACAACTTGGATCTCCCCGCAGATCTTCTTTGGACCGAACATGAACGAACGATCATATAAATCCCTCACTCATCTCAGAGGATGAGTTCATTGTCCCTCTATGACCTGTCCATGATTGGATGGCAGCTTTAGGTATGGTATTTGATAATAGTACTTCGCCTTAGAAACCCCGTCACTGATAGAAGAACAGACAACCTTCCGTGGATAGACTCCATGGCACCCTCATCGAACACACAAGATCATGGCCAGTCGGATTCTCAACCTCCGACGGTCGCTGCCTTCTCCCCCTCAACGATTACCGGCTCGGCTCTGACCTCGCGTCAGCGTTCCAGTGTCATCGTGCATCGCAAATCACCTCTCCTAGTGGCCACACCACCGGCTATCACTCGAGCCCTGGCCTACTCGCACCCGTTCCTACTTCCTCTAAATAAATTTGCTGGCCTCCTAACATGGACTTCTGGAGACCCATGGCAGAGCTTTCTGCTGGTGGCTACCTTTTGGACCATCGTGTTATATAGCGATGCCATCATTCTTTGGGCAGGACCGATCCTGGTCGTGGTCGCATTAATCCTCGGCATGTATGGACGTCGATACTCGCCTCTATCATCAACTACATCAACAGGCGAAAAGCACAAGACCAAAGTTGCCCCAGACAGCTCACTGCGTCATCAAAAGAGTCTTGATGAAATTGTTGAAACCCTTCGCATCTTCACAACCAGATGCAATATCCTGCTCGAGCCTTTGCTCGACCTCACCGACTTTCTATCCACCCAGCGCACTCCTACGTCCGCCACTACCAAACCTGCGCTGACAGCTCTGTTCATCCGCATCCTCTTAGTCACTCCTGTTTGGATCGGTCTGACTCTACCTCCATTCTACATACTCACCACACGTCGCGTGGTCATGGCTGTTGGCACTATAGTTCTTACTTACCATTCCCGACCCGCCAGGGTCTCGCGTGTTATTCTGTGGCGGTCTCGAGCTGTGCGTCGGTTATGCGCGGCAGCTACGGGTCTCTCTGTTGCCGACACCCCGAGCAGTCCACAAAAGGCCCCTGTCCAAGCCCAGGGCGAAAAGCAAGGCTTAAATATTTCAACCCGGCGGCGCGGAAACAACGCAGGTGTGCGGTTCACGTTTGTTGTCTATGAGAATCAGCGCCGTTGGCTGGGTATCGGGTGGACTTACTCGTTGTTCCCGGCAGAACGTGATGCCTGGACAGACGAGCATATGAATGCAGTGAATCCTAAAGACTCTTTCGAGTTACCAGAGGTCCAAACAGGAGATGCCAAATGGCGCTGGGTTGAAGGAAGTGAATGGCGCATCGAAGGAGCGGACAACTTCAATGGAAAGTCAGACTCGAAGGGGTCAACCGGCGAAGGGTGGATCTACTATGATAACAAGGTTGGTACTTTCTCTCTATCGATTTCGTTGTATTCTCTTCTAAACAGAACACTAGTGGAATGATGGTCGCCGCGGTCAAGATGGGTGGGATCGCTATACCCGTCGACGCAAATGGTATCGTGACGCCGAATTAGCGGACCTCTCACCTCAAGCCACCCAGAATGCCTCCGAAGAAACCATCTCCGGACTAACGCAGGCCCTGGAAAAGCAAAAAGCACAAGAGAACGACGATAACGCCGATGCACACAGCATTGCGGCATCTACCTCCTCCAAATCCAATCGTCGGCGCTGGTTCAGCGGTACCAAGGACAAAGAGCAGACCTCCCCTGGCGGGCTGCCCACTGACAGTGGGCGTGCCACGGGCTCGAACGCATCTATCGTAGCCGATAGAGCAGACGGCTCGCGACCCATCAGCATCAAAAATTCTCGCAAATCTCATGCCCGCGAAGGAAGTGTGGCCACTAGTGACAGCGCCAGTCTGCGCGAGAAGGAGATGGCGAACTCGCATGATCATCTTGACCGGTGGTCAACTCGAGCTGCCGGCGGGACGGAAAGGGCGGAAAGGGAATGGGGGCTCAGCGATGAGGTGAACATGGGACTGAGTTGATCGTGCGTTTTATGTTCATATATGCAATCATCCCTTCTCGAACTCCGCGACTTGCTACCTAAGACACGGCCTTATATATCCTTATTGTTTGTAGTGTAATCGGACCTGTGAATTATCTTTTCAAGTGGTTTAGTGCGCCAATACGCCGTCATGTCTTGCAAACTTTCTACAATGCACTCAGTCTTCTATCTCCGCTGGCTAATCCTTATGTACATCTGCACCCCCAATCTGTCTTTTGACCGTGTTGGGGCCGTGTTGAAGGCCACTCCAAATGCTGAGACTCAAAACTAATCACCACCTCAACTTCAACCAAAATTTTACGCTGCCGAGCTTCTTATTCCTATTTCCACACCTTCTTCCCAACCATCACAGCTCATATAGCTTCTTGAATCTACTTTCAGACTGCGCCAACAGCTCTTGGGGCTTACCCGACTCTACCACGCGCCCATCATGAAGTACAACTACGCGGTCAAAATCGACAATCGTGTTGAGACGATGCGCAACAGAGATTATAGTACAACCCTGGAATTCATCTCGGATGATGGCCTGCATAATCCCATCGGTTTGGATGTCGACGCTATTTCCATTGTTAGCTCCTGCAGTTTTGGGGTCTAGAAACCGCACAAGACTCACCTCGAAGAAACCTCATCCAACACCACAACCTTACTCTTTCGCAATAGACTCCTTGCGAGGCAAAACAGCTGTCGCTGGCCATGACTCAAAAAGTCCCCAGCCATGATGGCACTCAGCCCGCCCTTCGCTTCGACCACAGACCAGACCTGACATTTTTCCAAGACTCGGATCAAGATCTCGTCATCTTGGGTTGTCGCACCCCACGGGTCGAGATTAAATCGCACTGTTTCGGAGGTAACCCAGTACGGCTCCTGTGTGATGATGTTGATGCGCTGGCGCAAGGCTTCGCGGGAAAGAAGAGCCAGATCCAAGCCATCAATGGTTATGGAGCCCTGACGGAATTCCAGGAGGTGAAAGAGTGAGGCAAGGAGCGAGGACTTGCCGCTACCGGTTCGGCCGCAGATGCCGATTTTCTGCCCGGGCTGGATCTTGAGAGAGACGTCTTGGAGGACGAGTGAGGAAGATTCACTGTATGAGGCGGCGAAGTTGTTGATATCGACTGCACCATGAGGAGGCCAAGTTGGTGCGGGAGAAACTGTTTGTAGGGGTTTGACTTCTGATTCGGTGGTATTGATAAACTCGCGTACGCGTGCGAGAGAACCGAGGGAAGTCTCTGTCATGCTCCAAAGTTGGACCAATTCGCAGAGGCTTTCATTGAAGCTCATGATATTCAGCAGGCCTAGGCCGACCAGGGCGGGATGAACCGTGTCGCGAAGGGAGACGATTGTGCCAATCAAAAGGGTTCCGAGTCCGGCGACCAAGAGATTCAGGACAAGTGCAAGCCAGACCTGGATTGTTTTCAGAAGGTAAATTGGTCTCTGGCTATTGTCCAGTAGCTCAGAGTTTCGGGTGCAGAACGGCTCAATCCAGCCCAAAGCTCGGATGCTGACGAGGCCGGCGATGGTTTCTTGGAAGTGGGTGTACAGAGGCGCTTGCTGTTCCTGACGCATGGCTCGGAGCTGACGAGAGGTCTGAAGGTAGAATCTTTGGATGGAGAAAAGGACCAGAATGAGAAATGGAATAGTCGCTAGCAGGTACGATGCTGAAACTGCGATGAGACCAGCCCCGATCACAAAGAGCGCTAACTGCAGCATAGTGCCAATCAGCACTCCTGGTAGTTCATTGTCGATAACGCCGAGGTCGTTGCTGAACCAATTTAGCACTGTGCCTGAATCAGTGGAGGTGAAAAACGACAAAGGAGCCAGCAATACGGTGTGCAAGAGCCGCTGGTGGAGGCCATTCGATACTCGAGGAATGATGTTAAAGAACAGTCCCCAGACCAACAGAGTGAGTGAAAGCAGGGAGATTACAGCTGTCAAACCCAGAGACCCCAGAAACCATGAGGTAGACACAATCGTTGAGTGATCGACCGGACTGGCAAAATAGTTAAGAAGCAGCCCGGGAGCCTTGATTGCAGTGACGTAGATCAAACTCCAAAGAGAAGCGAGCCCTATCGAGAACCGGCCTGCTGCGGCAAAATAATGTGAGATAGCCTTCCAATCTCCAATATTCGACACTAGAGACTTAGTCGATATCTCATCATCTTCCTCTTCATGCGTCACGTCAACCGATGGCTGCTTCCCCGGTGTTTCTACGCTGTCAGACTGGGAGCTAGCCTCATCGGCATTCCTGGAATTGTTCTTGAAGCGGACAGAGAGACCAGCCACGTATCCTCCGGTCTGTTGAACAAGAGTCTCATAAGTTCCTTGCTCCGCGATTGTTCCATCTGTCGACAGTACGACAACCCAGTCAGCCTGTGGCAAGCGGGCGACGGCATGGGTGACAAGAACAACACTGGTGCTATGAGAGCGGAGGGGACCTGACTGGGAGAAGAGCCTGCGAAAAATCTCGTCTTCCGTGTCCGCATCTAAGCCGCTGAAAATATCATCCAGAACCAAGAGGTCTTTCCGCGCAAAGACCGCCCGAGCTAGGGAAAGACGGAGTTTTTGGCCGCCACTCAGCGCGATTCCATTGGTTCCTACTATGGTTCGGTCTTTGTTCGGTAGGTTGCTCACATCTGCCGAAAGACCACAGCAATGAATTACCTCCCTATAGAAAGGCTCATTTTCAGATGAACTCCCACATATACCAGCT